TAATTGCCCCCAACCAGGGATACTATAGCCGATTGGTACGGGAGGCAATAGAGATCCATAAACACATGGACAATTTCAACAGAAGAGAGGAAGCGGTGAACCTCAATCGAATATGGAACCCCATTTTAAGGAATTCGAGAATAACGAACAGAATGACGACAGGCGGCAAGATTGTTGATGTTCCAGGTGCAAGTACAGGTAAAAGTACACGTACAAGTACAGGTACAAGTGCAGGTACAAATACAACTGATTACCTGACAAGGCATAAATACGCTTTACGAAGCCAAAAAGTTTGTCATCGGACATGGTTAAACCTCTGAAGAAGCTAGCCACTCGCGCTAGCGAAACGTCAGGAAGAAATTCCAAAAATCCATGGCTTTCAAACTCGAAAAACAGTGACACTGAAAACCTCAGCCGCGAAAGTCTAAACCATTTTGACTATTCGTTGTATTTGTTTTTCGTTTTTGTTTTTGACTCCAATAAAATACAAAAGACAGTTTTTTTCTCAGACGATTTCTACAGTCATGGGAATGTGACAAAAACAAACAAGAAACAAAATGTTTCTGTATTTCTATTTCCCTATTTTTCTACAAAAACCAATCTCTTCTGAAAAATATACTTTTCAATTCAATCAAAAACGAATAGATGTTTTCATCTTGGAACATTTGTATCAAATTACTGAAAACTGCTCTTTCCATTTCAGTCGACTATTTTGATGTATGTTGTGAGGCAGTTGTTCATATGATTGTGGTACTACTTTAGAAAAAGTGTAATTTCTGAAAATGTTAGTTTCACTGTCGTTCAACAAAAGTCCAATCTAAGATACGAGTATCAATGTAACATCAAACTATACACATCAAACAAATAGGTACGGACACTTACCAGTATTGCCGTGTAAACTGAACCAATCCTAAACACTAGTAAATACCAGACGGTACACTTATTACAATTAACCAACGAATAATTTATAAAATCGAACGAAGTAACGAAATATTGTTTGTGCTGTATGTATTCTTTAAACAGTGCATCTGAGAAAATAATTATTTCACTCACAATCATTAAAAATGTGTTTTATTACGCAAATCATTTTTTTTGTTCGAGATTGAATGAATGGTTATTCTAGCTATTTATAATTCGAACCTGATTCTCGTTTTTGGTAGATTTGGTAGATCAAGAATCATAAAATCTACCCAAAAAATCAAAAGAGGCTTATAAGACTTAATGTGTTCTGGTGTCGATAAGCTGTTATAAGTGATCCGCCTGAGAAACATAAACATGGAAAAACAGATGATATGTACATTCAGATAATTTTTTTAGATAATCCACAGACAAGTATACAAACATATATTTAAAGCTCTCAGTTTTGATTCTACTTCCTAATATACATTTCCTATAAAATTCACGATAGAAATAGCAGTCACAATGATTTCATGCAAATGATTATAAGAATAACCATGATACAGGAGAAATGCTTCTGAAGTTTTCATTTGGGTGAAAATTGGAAAGTCATGGAAATTTCTAGGGAAGGTGTTGCGCGATTTTTTTGACTAGTCTAGTCGATTATGAACGATTTCACATTTTTCATTCCAAGAATGAGATTTATGTTTTGAAGTGTTCATAAATGAAATAACATCTTGCTATTAGATTGATGAAGGAATAATGATATTCAGTTATTTCAGTTGAAAACAATTCCGCTTTTCCTAGTAGTGAGGCCGACGAAGTCAGGTATCAGAATCAATATATTATTTTCAAATATGAAAGTGTCTATAGCAAAACAATTGAATTGCTCCCGAACATTTTCTATTTGTTTTACCCAAGAAAACATTTCCAGCAGAATATATGATGATGTAATCTCAAAAAAGGTATTGTAATGATCACTCAGTAACTAATCAAGAGGAGTCACAATATGGGATTTTGATCATTACATTTTTCAGAATATAATAGTTGTTTTCAATGATCTTCATCATAAATAACAACCAAGTAACTATCTGTGACTTAACTGCCATTATTATGTTAAATAAAATAACACCAAAAACGCCCCTTACTTTTTCTATCAAACAAACAAGATTGTATCATGATTCCTACAAATAATTGTGGATAATTAATGATATGCCAAATTTTAATACAAATTTTTCATGAAATTAATATAATATATCATCATAATATATGTTATCAATGTGATAAGAAAATTGCGGGGTATTGAATTTTCGGCAGAATGTCACATTTTTGCATTTGGATATATTCAAATTTCTTGAGACACCAAACTTGAAATAAATCAATCTGCTTTTGTAAAAAAGTGCAGTCACCTGAACTGTTTATAGATGTGTAATGTTTTAAATCATCAGCAAACATTGATCTAATGCAGATTGAAGACTTCCACAGATTGTTAATGAATAATAAAAACATTAAAGGGCCAAGACTAGTGACTATTGGATAAGTACATATTTGAAGAGAATTATATTGTGTTATATAAAAAAACCAAAATAGAGCAAACATGAAGAAATCAACTCTGTACAAAAACCAATATTTCATCAAGAGCTATCAAATAATATTTCGTGAAAATGGATTTTTTGAACTGCCCTCGTACTATGTATATTTCATTTCCTGTTTAGAACAATTTTGAGATGCCTCATCCCATGGGTTGGGCTACCTATCGGGTGCGTCTCCAGCTGGCGGATAGGGGAACGACCAGGGGACTGGAGGCCCTGCCTGGGAAGACAATGTGGCCTTACGGACGTGGTTGCCGGACTCCTGGTCAGTGGAAGAAATGAGTAAGGTGGGGAAAACTAAAACCCCCCAAAAGCCTCTGCAAAACATGCCACCATGGACCAGCCTACCCAAGCTAAGGTGTAAGGAATCGTGCCGACAGCTGAATGGCCGCATGGTGATATGCGGTCACGAACGATCCCCTTGGGGAACTGGGCAAAACCTCATTGTAATCAGCCTACCGCTGGTAATGCGAGGCTCTATCAGAGGTGACCAACTCTTCCCTTGCTACTCGTGGAAACACAAAAACTGAGACAACAAAAACCAATCCCGAGGCTGGACAGAAGTGCTGACCTCAATCTAAGGCGGTGGCTGAGGAAATTTCCACCTCAATTCACCGCTTGGAATGAGGCTGGACATAGCAGATCACCTCCAATAGCAAGGGCACTTCCTGCGGCGTGCGCCAAGAGCTCCCCCTTGAATAAAGGCAAGAAACCGGATGCCCCTGCCGGAAAGCTCCCTCACTTGTGCACCTCCACGGAGGGAACCCCAAGAAGGTTGAAGACATAATATCGCTGCACCTTCCAAAACCTTCGCGAAGGCCTCCGTGAGACACCTCAAGGTTGCAACGAGAGTGTGTGTTTGGCGAGTCTTTGCCTACACCTGCCAATATAAAGGAGACGTCTCCTAGTGACCTGTTCACCTTCCTGGAAAGGACAGGATGGACGAAGACCTAGGAGGATAACTCCTCGGGAGGATGTACAATGGGTCACATGTGGCCTAAGTGCTGTGAGTCTACACTCACCCTCCCTACTCTACAGATACCAGAGAAGGGGCCTCATTCTCCTTTCTTCATGCAACTCGTACTTTTTTCTACGGATCGTTAAAGAAAAGTCCTGCGACAAAAGCTGAGGAAAAGAATTGGCAAAGTTGGAATTGAATACTTTTTAACTGACACTAAGAGATATTGGTGATCACATGATGAATTTCAACTGTTTTTTTACATTGATGACACTGAGTACAGGATGAATCTCTAGGAAATACATCGATCGATTGTAGGAAAACTATAATTAGAAAAAAACTGAAAATTTACTGAAGTCGATGAGGGCAAGTCGACTAAAATATTTTCAGAATGGCGGGACTTCCGGCATACTGGAAGTAGGTATCAATTTTGTTATTCCAAATAGAACACTATATATTTTATTACATTTTTGGACTCTACATCAGAATCTGAATACTTTTCGTGCGTAATGTCCTATATGTGAGTCTAACCGTTTTTGTCATATTCAAGTTTCTATGTCGAAAAAGATGTTTGCAGACCCTACAGTAATTATCAATTTTACCTATAAGGAAACGTGTGTGATTATGTTTTGGTCGGTTGTCTTGTAGAGTAGAACCAAATTCAATAGACTTCATATAAAATTTCGATAATTAATAATATACCCTGATTTCATATAAACTCTATTGAATTAGTTCCCCTTTACAAAGAACTCGACCAAAACATAATGATAGAGGTTTCTTTATAGGAAAAATTGGTAATTATTGTAGGGTCTGCAAACATAATTTTTGACATTTCAACTTAAATCTGTCAAAAACGGTCAGACTTAGATATAGGATATCATACACAAAAAGTATTTACATTCAGATGTGAAATCCAAAATGTAATAATATATAGGGTGTTCCATTTAAAATAACGAAGTTGACAGCTACTTCCGGGTATAACCAGAAGTGCCGCCACTTCGAAAATATTTCAGTCGACTTAGTATATTGTCAAATTTTCAGATTTTTCCTAATTATAGTTTTCCCCCAACCGATCAATGCAGTTCCTGGAGATTCACCCTGTATATGAAGAAAATTGTGCTTATGGAGACCAAAATCCCATATCGAGATCATATGTCCTTTGGGTCGTCCAATTTGGAGCTTCGGCAATAAACTGAAATTCTAAATGGAAATGTAATCTCTCGCAAAACACAGATTTGCCCGAGCATCAGTTTTCCATTTGTTGTTATCGACGAGTCACCCCTTTCACAAATTCAATTAGAAAATCTCGGTGATTGTCCACTGTCATTCTGATGGCAGTTTTGAATAAACCCTGTGTCAAAAATATCTATTGAGTATTTAGGTTAACCCACTCTGATTCGTACTCAAAATATTTGGATTATCACCGATTCGATATAATGTTCGATTGATATGAAATGGATCAGTCTGAATAATGAAGATATGTCAGGATAATATTCAAGTGAATATTGGGGAAAAATAGTGATAGAGATAATATATCCTTAACGATTTTATACCGGAGTTTTGGGTAGTTTCCGTCTTGTTGGGGAAGAAGGCGCCTTGTCTCCATCTGGTTCTGAAACAAAAATGATAGGTTTGTGTGAAAATAATACGAAACAATTCCACATCATGTATTCAAGAATGATTTCAGAACTTTGAAAACGACAAAAACAGATAATACGATGCAATTGCAGTCGCTAAAACTGTCAAAGTTTGCGTTGTGAATTTTGGCCAAGACAATATTTCAATAGTGGATAGATTACACATACGAGATCTGTTCGAAAAATGAGGTGAAGGTTCAAATTTCCCGAGCTACGTACATTAGATTATTGAGTCGCTTCTCGGCCCTTGGCTGAGATCAAAGTGTAGTATCTGTTCTTATCAGCTTAATATCTGATATTGATTTTTTTATGTTGGTACACTCACTCGTCTCAAAAATATGTTCGAGACGAGAAGAAGTCGAGAAGATGATGAATGATGACGCTCGCCTTGAACGCTTCAGCACATCAACAACCGATGGAAAAGTTGGGAAAGTGAAGAAAATTACAGAATCATCGAGTCACTATTAGAGAAGTGGCTGAGGATATCGGGATATCGGTTGGCTCATGCCGTGCAATTTTTTCGTAAATGTTCTTGAAAATGTCATAACTGGAGACGAATCATGGGAAGGGTAAAGCCGGAATAGATGCCCCAGCGGGATCGATGCCTCATATCCTAAAAAGCTAACTTCTCGAACTCGCGACTAAGAATTAATTTTATAAGTAGGAGCCGCTGTCACCCCGTACCTCAGTTACCCAAGGACTTCAAAGATTCATAGGTTAGTATTTTGCGTTGTTCAACTTTATAATTAGTAATAAATTCCGCTATATTTTTTATTACGTCAATATACTGGTTCATTGAGTCTACATCTAGGTGCAAATATATTTTTTTTTATAAATTATTTGAAAAAAAATACTTGGGAATCTATCCATATCAGAGAGGGTAGTTGCCCTGATTTTTCGAGGTATAGGTGTCCTTAGGGGTATCTATCTGTCATTTATTATACGCTGTCATTTATGATTACAGCACAACTATTCCATGAAATTATAAAAAAAAGGAAAGAGTGCGAGCTTGAGTATGTTCGTGGACCACAGAAAACCTACAGTCAGCTTTCGATGAAGTGGACAAGAAAACCATGCATATAAAAGAAATATCCCGAAAAGTTGGGATTCCATCGAGGACATTGCGAAGTCGATATGCTGTTAGAAATACAAAGTTGACCCTAGGTATGTATCAGGACATTACAAACCTTCAATTAATTAATTGTTGAATATTAGTGGAGTTTTATTCCAACACCAAATCGTTATTTTCAACACCTTGACACTTGTTTCGACCATCAAGTGAACATCTTCAAGAGGAAGACTAAAGTACAGTTTAGTCTTTAGATCACCAAGTCTTTCTCTTGATGATGATCACTTGGTGATCGAAACACGTGTCAAGTTCGTGTTTGTTAGAAAACTCCAGTAATATTCATTACTTCACCAAAGGTTTTAAACAGTGTATCACAAGTAACTAATTGCTGTCTCTAGTTTCCAATATATACATTAACGTAAGCATTTTTTTTAGGAAAACATCTTATTTCGGATTTTGACAACGAGAAAAGGCTAGTAAAGCACATTCTCGAACTTGTTGATGCAGAATTTTCCCCAAAAAGACAAGCTATACGCATGTTAGCTCATCAATTTGCTGAAAAGCTGGAACTAAAACACAATTTCGACCACGAAAACGAAATGGCTGGAGGTGTATTGTACAGATGTTTTATTGAACGAAATCCGTAGCTGTCTATCAGACAAGCTGAAGGTTTATTCGTGGCTAGAGCTATAGGTCTTAGTAGAGAAGAAGTCAATAACTTCTATGATCTTTTGATCAAAGTTCTGACCCAAAATGCAAATGGATAAAATAATGGATATATCTTTATTGTGTTATTTCAATATAAAAAAGAATGATTGTGTGATGTACATGTTGAAACTTAATGTGAATATTCCATAACAACAATTGAGAATTTATATTTTTATTGACAATAAATGCTTGTAAAATTTTATTTGAAAAATATGATTACCTACGCATTTTGAAACTTAACAATTCATATTTCAGTTGAACAAACGCTTTAGAAATTTGATTATGATCATCAGTGCGATATTATAATCAAAAGATCAAAAAAAAATACAAAATGTTTTTTATAATTTTGACTCATGCTTTTTAGAGACAACTGCTGTTTAAGGAGTGGAACTACTTAAAATTTGGTTTGGGTTTTTGTTTACCTACACGGTATAAATGGCATTTATCTTGCACTGCAGCAATCTATTCTTCTCACTATTTTCATGGTGGGGCAGCTATCTATACAGGTTGGCATCAATCCTCAAAAAAATGCTCCACGTGAAGTTAATTCTGGCGAAATCTGTATTTGATAGGTTGAATAATAATAATCCAACATAAAGGATTGAACTAGCTACATTATTGATATTATTCGTATAAAATTATTATTTTGTTCTGTGAGATCCCAAGGACATACCAAAGAGTGCATATCAGAACTGCTTCGAGCAGCTCTGATATGCACAGCGTTTTCATCTGCGGCGGACTACGTTGAAGGGGATAAGTTGGAAATTGATGAAAAAATAAACGTCTTCGGGCAGAAATCAAAAGCACCATTGGAATGTCTTATGAAAAATTCATTCAGAAAATTAAGAGCGAGATTATCCATAACTCCAATGAGTTTTGGTCATTCATTATCAATCGAAAATGTATAAATGGAATCGGAGATGGAATGTTACATGCAGGTAAGCCACTCGATGATCCTTCATATATTCTTGTTGGTTTTGCTGATCTCTTCAGTGGTTCTTATACAGGACATTCCAACGAAAACTTGGCCTCCCCTGTAAGTCAGAAACGGACATGAAATCAACAATTTCAATTTCTATTCCTAGGGCGACCAATCTAATATATAAAAATGAATGTTTTTTGGTTGGTTGGTTGGTTGGTTGGTGAGTGATAAACTTCTACATCGCTCAACTGATCGTGATGAAACTTGACATGTATAAGTAATTTTTCATAGGTTTTTAGGCTATCAATTTTTCTGTAACTCGCCACTAGATGGCGCTGTAGAACAATTTTTCAAAAGCACTGTTCTATAACGCTGCGCACGCCAAAGTTCGTTGATTCTGATTCTGTCAAAACATTGGAACAGCAGCGATACAACAACATAGTACTTGTCTAATATATAAAAATTGATGTTTGATGATTGGTTGGTTGGTTTGTTGGTAAGTGATACACTTCTACATCGCTCAATCGATCGTGATGAAACTTGACATGTATAAGTAATTTTTCATAGAGAAGGTTTTTGGGCTATCAATTTTTCTGTAACTCGCCACTAGATGGCGTTGTAAAAAAATTTTTTTAAAGCACTGTTCTATAACGCTGCGCACGTCCAAGTTCATTGATTCTGATTCTGTCAAAACATTGACACAGCAGCGATACAGCAACATAGTCCTAGTTCTGATATAAAAATCATACCTGAAACTTCACGTCCCTGCGGTCAGCAACTAGCCACCCTATTTTTTTCAATAGCATGAGGAGTCCAGTGATACATCATTTGAGATGTCTTTTGTCCCTCTATCACCTCTGTGATTTTTTTCAGATTTGATTCATTCATTATTAAGAAATTAAATGTTGAACGTTTTATTTAAGAAAAAACAGAAATTTCGCTGTCGTTTATTTCAATGAGGAAATCAACAACAAATGATATCAGTGGAAACAAAATCAACGGATAAATTGTTCAAAATGACCTCCACCTAGTTCCATACAATGATACAGTCTACTCTCGAAAGCGTTCCGTACATTATTCAAGATGTCCGGAGTCAGAAATCGGCATTCCCGAACATTCTCTGTCGCAGGTCTTCTAGATTTGTAGAATTTATTTAATTAATAGTGAATGTTTTAAAATCGACGATACTGTTAGTTTTTTCTGCACTGAGATCAGGTGATCTAGTAGGCCAGTCCACTGGACCTCTTCTGCCGATCCAACGCCTTGGAAAACGTTCGTCCAAAAACTGTCTCACCCGAACATCAAAATGTAGGGATGCACCATCCTGCTGGGATATTATTTCATTTTCTACTAAATTGTCATCATTTTCTGACATTTGTGTAATCATACGATGTACACAGTCTTGTAATAGATTCAAGTATGTGTATCCATTGAGATTACCTTCAATGAAGAATGGTCCAACAATATGATTACCAAGAATGCCGGCTCAGACATTCAATTTTTGTGGAGTTTTTGAATGTGTTTCCATCACCAAATGAGGATTCACATCGCTTCAGTAATGACAATTATGTCTGTTCACTCCACCATTCAACACGAAATAACTTTCATCTCAAAAACATGTACTGAATAATAGGTTTGGGTTTTCTCGCTGAACACCTCACAAAACTGAAGTCGACGATTATGATCATCTTCGTTGGATTCCTGAACTAGCCTTATTTTGGAAGGATGGAATTTGTAGGCTTTCAATATCCGACAAACACTAGTAGCTGATACACCAGACGCTTTTGCTAATTGTCTAATAGATTGTCGATTATCCATTTGTACAGAACCTGAAGTTCGAAACTTATCCATTAACTGTTCATCGTATTAATGGCTCACGTTGTGGTCTGGATGATTCCTATTATAAATTCTTGCAGTAGCTTTAGCAAATTTATTATTTCGATAATAAGTTGCAACAATTTCTATTCTTTCTTCAGTAGAATAAACCACGTTGAAAGACAATGATTAAGGATGACTGAATAATAATTCGTGAAGAAGTGACAGTGGCCAATTATCTACTTTTTGTTCTGCGACAACTAGATTAAAAAAAACTACCAGTGCAGAAAAAACTCACAGTGTCGTTAATTTCAAAACATTAACTACTAATTAAATAAATTCTACAAATCTAGAAGACCTGCGACAGAGAATGTTCGGGAATGCCGATTTCTGACTCCGGACATCTTCAATAATGTAAGGAACGCTTTCGAAAGTAGACTGTATTATTGTATGGAACTAGATGGAGGTCATTTTGAACAATTTATTCATTGATTGTGTTGCCATTGATATTACTTTTGTTGATTTACTCAATAAAATGAGCGACAGCGAATTTTCTGTTTTTTTTTAATAAAACGTTCAAAATTCAATTTCTCAATAACGAATAAACCAATTTCGAAAAAAAAATACCGAAATAATAGAGAGACAAAAGACCTTTGAAATGATGTATCACTCGACCCCCCATGCCATTGAAAAAAATAGGGTGGGTAGTTGGTGACCGCAGGGGGGTGGAGTTTCAAGTATGATTTTCATATCAGAATCAGTTCCTCTAAAAATAAAAATTGAATTCTTCTTTGAAATTTTCGATTACACGTCCGTTTCTGACTTACAGCGGGGTCAAGTTTTCGTTGGAACGTCCTGTATAGTGTCAACATCGAGTGATCATGCGAACAACAGTGATATTCCCAACCTAGTAATCAAAAACTTCAGTATTGAAGATGTTTATCATAAACTGAGAAAATTATCTAAATTTACTGCGGGACCTGATCATATTCCAGCATTCATCAGCTTTGGATAAACCACTTTGGATAAACTATTCTAGTTAATACATGCGCAATACCAACACAAATGATCTATATAATGCCATTTGCTCTGATATTTCCAAAATTTCAGATTGGTGTAAGGCAAATTTATTAGTTTTCAATGTCTCAAAAACTAAAGTTTTATCCTTCAACTGCATTCTTGATAATATTCCTCTAGCTTCGAATTCGAATGTGATTGAGAACACGTCATGCAACAAATTACTTGGGTTATTAATTGATAATAAATTGAAATTTGAGGGAATATCTCTAAACAAAAAACTTTCATCTGGATGTTATGCTGTGAAAATAACTTCTGACGAACTAGGACTAACTGCAGTTAAAACTGTCTATCTTTCATTAGTAGAATCACATCTAAGATATGGGATACCTTTCTGGGGGGTAAGTAATCAAACTCGACTCGACTCGATTTTTATTCTGCAGAAAAGGTCATTAAGATTTCTTTGTAGAGCCAGGCGGCGAGATTCTTGTAGGTTTTTATTATAATATTTATGGTAGGACTCTAGATATTTTTATCAATCTACTAGCTTATATTCTGATTTCATGCACTTGACAATGTGTTTTCTTTCTCAAAATGTTCACCAAAGCTTCGTCAATAAAAACTTTTCTTTGGACACTAAAGCATATTTATTATTATTATGCCTGAAAACATCAAGTGTACCATCAATATGAACAAAATCGAAAGCCTGCCCAATTTTCAAGAAAAGAGATAACTCAATGGCCTCAAGTCTGTAGAATATCAAGCCACATCTGGTGTACCACAAGGGTCAAACCTGAGACCCCTAATGTTCAATATGTTCATCAATGATATCGGAGCTGAGACTGATGTTAATTTCCTTCTATATGCAGATGCTTTGAAACTCTATCACAATATAACATGTTCTAACGATTGCGAACGTTTCGCCCTGAATTTAAATCGTATTGCGGCATGGTGTCGAAATGATAATCTATGTCTCAGAATATCCAAATATGATGTGATATTTTATTCACTGAATTCGACATTACCCAACTACGTCATAAAAAATCAAGTTCTGGAGCGTCCTGACATAGGTGTTACTTTTGATTCACCCTCTCTGTCAATAAACATATTGACACTTCTCTGACAGCTGATTATCGTATATATAGATTCTCAGTTAGAAATACTAAACACTTCGAAGAAGCTTCAACACTCAACTCACTTTATTTCACTTTTAATCGATGTAGGCTGGAATAGGCATCTGTTGTGTGGAGTCCCTACTATCGGGTTCATATAGATCATTTTGAAGCCCTTCAGAAGCTCTTATTGAAATATCTGCCTTTTAAACTTGAAGGCACGTATTCTACTGTAGAAACACCCCATTATGGATTGCATGAAATTCATAATTTCTTTAGTCTCGAGGTAAGGCGTGAATATAATTCTTTTTTTATTCTATATCATAAACAATTTCAATACCTCCTCTCGATTGTTACATATGATGCATTTTTGGGTTTCTAGACGATCATCTAGGAATAGTGTCACCTTTTATCTCAATACTCCGCGAACAAATACAAGGAAAAAATCCCCAATTTATGCAATGTGCGACACTTGTAATTCTTTTAGTCTTGTCCTAGATATATTCAACTGCCACATTATACAACTCAAAAGACATTTCTTAGCTAACTGCCAGTTCTGTTCTTTATATAGAATCACAAATTATATTATGAAAGTACATATTTGTAAATGCCACCTTTCCCCTATTATCCGTTTCTATTTCACTATTTGGCAACATCGGTTGCCAAATGGACAATGAATCTAGTAACTATATGAGACAAACAAAGATGACATTCTGTGACATATGACATTTTGTGCACCTAACCTATCTTCCTCTATATAAATAAATAACAAAACAACTGTTGTTTATGTGGCTTGTAGAGGTGGTATTGAACTATTGAGAAGTTCGGTATTGAACATAATGAATGTTTTGATTGATTTTTTGAATGTATTGAGATTGGCATTGTTTCTTATGTTAACTGGCAGAAGATTGAATAATTTTGGACCGTGATAGAAAATACATCTCTGTGTGTGACTTTTATTAAATGATGGTATGTTTATGTACACCCAAGTTGAACATTGGTGGATATAGAGTTCTCTTGTTTTCAGTAACTGCGTTTCCTTATACAGACATTCGGTAGAGTATATTTTAGGTTTTTTGAATAATATTTTGTTGTTAAATGTACCACCCCAGGAAGCAATACAGTATCTTATTACAGATTCTGCTAAAGACTGATATATGGTGATCAAATTTTTGTATTTCAGAATGTTTCTCAATTCATAGAATTTGTTTGTTAAAAGTCTGAGCCGTTTTACAACGGTGGTCATCCCACCTCATATGCCGATCCACTATAACTCCCAGATACTTAATAATTTTCGTTCTTTCTATAACAGCACAATTGTTGTATCCGTACAATCTCTGCCATGTATATGGATTATGTAATTGAACTTATCCTATAAAATGGTGTATGGAATGAATAAATAAATACCTATATGCAGTGCTGCGATCCCCGCTTCTGACGGCTTCCTCGTGACCAGCGAGCTCGACGGTGGTATGGGGTCGTCCAATAGATCGCACATCCGCAGATCGGTGGCGTGTTCTACCAGCAGCTCCACCATGTCTCCGGTTCTGTCCATGATGGAACACACCTCTTCGAAGGAGCGGTCGATGAGCGAGACGCCGCTCCACTCAAGGACTTTGTCGCCCTGCTGGAGACCGCCTTTCTCGGCGGGTCCCCCCGGGACGGTCCACACGATGTAGGCGAAGAGGCGGCCGTCGGGAGCCGTCTTGCCGCCCACGACGCGCATCCCGAAGCCGCGGGCTGCAAGTGAATGATGTTCGAATTTATAATGAAAAATCTCTAGTAATACGACTTTATTTTGCCACAACAGAGTACATTGGAGAAGGCAAGAACTTCTTTCAAATCTAGATATAGTGATAATGATGATGTGTCTGTTTTCAGGACAACTTTCACATAATCAGGGTGAAGACATTTTACATTGTTGCTTTCCCATGACACCCCCAAAATTAGCAACAGAATGAGAGATATGAGTGAAAATATAAAAACACATATTTTACCATTAACGCTGGTGTTCCTCAGGGATCCATATTTTCTTCAACCCTCTTCTTATTGTATTGAAAAAACCAAGAATTCAATATATTGTTTTGCTGACGACAGCACATTTGTCTCGTCATTCCATTTGGATTACAGGACAACGGCATGCAATTGCACATTTTCATCGGCAGCAGGAGGTTGCACATTTTAATGAGGTTCTAGAAGTGATTTCCAATTGGGGTAAAAGTAACCAGGTTTAGTTCAAGGCATTGGTTTTCTCCAGAAAGATAAATGTCTTCGAGCCGGAAGACAATTCCGCTTTCGGCTTCGATAAGTTTGTTGAAAGTTGAATTGGACACCAATATATCTTGGCACAATCATGCCGCTGGAATTGCAAATGTTGCTTACCTTTTTATCAAATTTTGAAAAATTAATTTTACGCCTGATGCTTCGTTTCAATTTTCCCAAAATCAACTCGATGGGATTGAAAACGCAAAAATAGGGGGGAATACTCAGCAATACTCTCAAGGGCATACACTTTTTCGAATGTTTTTGTCTATAAAACTTCAAGTAGTTGGTTTCTGGTATAGTAATATTCAAAATACAAATTGTTATCCATTGAAAAATTTTGTATTTCATCTTTCCTCGAATTTCCTTTCGGTACTTTGATGAATTGTCGTAAATTTGGGATCAATGTGTTTTCAAACCATTCCTCAAAAATATTAGCTTCCATGTTCTTATGATACTCAACATTGTGGTCCTCAAGTTTTTTCCACATAATTTCAAAGAATTTGGAACACATCTTTCACTTTCTCCGCAATGCACAATGATTATTCGCGATCCCTTGTTTGCAGGCATGTTAGGCATACACATTCTCGAACCATCAGTCCACCCTTTCGTAACTGTGTTGGGAGTGTCATACCAAGTTTCGTTCAAATAGAAAATTTGATGTTGTTCTTGTCTATATTTAGTTATTTGTTCTACCTATTTGTTACGCAATTCCACTATTCTTCTGCTTTCCATAACTGCTTGACGTTTGTTTATTATTTCGAAGCCAAATCCTGATTTCTTTATCCAATTCTGAAGAGTTTTGTCACAGCAGCTCACGTTATGGCCGGAAGTATTCAATTTCTTCCTTACGATTTCAGTTGTAGGAACCTTATTGCTTTTGAAACGGTTGTACATTGTTCTTTTCAATGATTTTATTGGATAAACATCTGAAGGTTTTGGTAGTACTGTGTCACATCGCGTCTTGCTTTGATAAATTTTGTTTTTGACTGTTTCACGTACAGTTTGAGAGAGGAATTTCGGTCAAATCTGATGTTGCTTGTAATTGTTTGTTTCCTTCGAACCAAACTTGAGATGTAAATTCTTATATACATTGAAATATAATCTCCTTGTTTCAATATTCAAATGCATCCGAATCTTATTCACTGGTATCACTTTTTCGCATTGTTCACCATCGCTATTGTAATCACTACACAGGAAAAAGTCTGCGTTGTTATCACACTCGTTATTATTATCAGTACTTGTCTAAGGACGCTTCATTTTAAACGAATAACAAAAATTTTAGGTAATTACAACTGCACCAATATCGCGATCAGTTCCTGAATTGATACCCACATTCCCCGATTTCTATTCGTCACCGTAACATGACTTAAATTTAAGTTTGACTCTTCAGCAAGTCATAAAACTCGGTAAGTGGAAATTACCCAATACGAACCACCAAGTCTACAGTTCACGTGGACTAGTTTGCTGCCGGTTCATTTCTATGTATTGGATTTTTTGTTCTTTGAGAGTGTCAACAAATTTAGAAAAAACAATATCGTTTACTTCGACTATACCTAGTCTGAAGGACCTTTCACGTTCAGCATACCGTTTTGAGAAGAGAAGAAAATATTAACTGTGGCAAGCATATTAACTTCAAAATTCTTGACATACTTTCATGAGAATATAAGACACCTTGACCTAGATCGGAAGTACATAATTATAATACTAGAAAAAACAGTATGCTCACAACCCGAAAACATAACTCTATAAAATATCGATATGTGTTTGTTGAAATGAGTATTTAACTTAAAAATCATTTTTATCGACAAATGGGTTCTATACAGTGGACGAATTTTTACTTGAAATTGTAAATATTTAATATTTTTCACAAAGTAATTGTCTAATTGGCTAAGGCTAATGTTGATGTGAAACTGAGATCTTTATGTATTTGTGAATAAATAAATATGTGTATATATATGGGTCAATATATGTGAATATTATATTATACTATTTGTAGTACTTATTCATATGAATCAGATCAAAATATCATTTGACGTATCCTGTCTATGTAATGTAGCACAAAGGTTAAATGAATTTTATCTATAACAGTCCAAACATATGAGATTACGAGCTCATAAAATTCAGATTTCTCTATCTTGTCCGCTTCATCTTTGCCGCTAAGAAGTAAATTAGATAACCTGGCAAGAGGCCTGAATGCCACTTCTACGTTTTTTTTACTGAAAAATCCCGCAATTTTCTCTGTTCTTTTACCAAAATATGTTATAATTACAAATTTTTTGATTTCTGATTGTTTGATCTGGGGTGTATTGATCAGCACGTAAATTTGAGGCTTTGTTTCCTGACTAATAACGGTTTCAGTTCAGTTCAGTTTGTATGCGTAAACATAGGAAGTTTTCATTCTCATCTTTCATGAATCTTATATATCTCTCATTGCAAATTGAAAATATAGCCATTGGAGAGTATCAAACCTTATATCAAAGAAAACTCGTGAAACTTTTCATTGTATTAAAAAATTATATTTAAAAAAAGAGTATATAAATGAATGATTGAATTTCAATATTCTTTTATACACCACTGTTACTTTTGCTGTCAGATAATAACTCCTAATCCTTCATAGGATGTTGAAGTGAAATTGACTGTACACGATTATGTTCATTCAAATATTTAACAATTTCTTTACTGCTATACACTGCTATCAACTTTTATATCTCTCTTCTATAAAAATTTGATATTAAAACAGAATTCATGTAATTCTGCCTTCACTTTGAACTGCTGTATCTTCTTTCGAAGCGGGTTATAAAGTGTTTCAATGGAAATATACAATATCCCCACAATCTAGACGTGCTACAAACAACTCGTTCATAAACATTGAGCGGATCATTTAAGTGTATCAATAACAGTAAACAGGTACGTTTCCACCCCATTTCGCAAATATTTCAGTTTGATAGACCTGAAAACTGTACTTTACCTCGTGAAATTCTCAACATCGCTAAAATGTTACTTTTTTCTTGGCGATTCTTCTCGGTAGGTAGCTTTTCAACTTTTGGAAAGTATATGTGAAATTTTAATGCTTCACGATCATTTGGCTGGGTATTATTTGCAGATTAATTCGAAGAATGCCATTCAATTCAAAGAATTGATTTTTATATTCCAAAATATTCTATTTATTATAATGAATGAAAATCTAACCAAAATGATGGTGTCATAATTTATGTTAAAGATACATTTCCGATTCTTCCAAAAATATTTTATATGGCAGAATCTAACCTATTAAGAATAACATTGACAGTTTTCAATTTAACAATCGGGATTACCGCTTCCTACCGCCCACCATCCACAAATATTAAGACGTATATACGAGAACTATCAGAATATTTATCAACACTGAAATACCTTAACATAGAAATTTTTCTAGGAGACATAAATATCAACCTTTTGGATAAAACTTCAAATGACGTAATCAATTATGTAAATATCCTAACAGAAAGTGGATTTATATCCTACATAAATGAATCTACCCGTATAACAGAAGAAACAGAAACACTAATTGATCGCATATATATTAAAAAACAAAATTGCAGAAAATCCAAAAAATGAGGTATTAACAGAAAGAAGTATGGATTCATTAATGGAAGTAATAATGAACTAGCTGTTTTAGATTTATTTAAGCAAGCATCGGATGCCTTAGACAATTCAAAATAGTGTCTTGCAATTTTTCTTGATTTGGCCAAGGCCTTTGATACAATTTCTCATGAAGCACTCTTAAATAAACTGAATTTATATGGAATACGAGGACCAGCAAATAATGTTTTTACAGATTATCTTTCTTGTAGAACCCAACGGGTCAAAATAGGTAACAATGTTAGTGAACTGGCTAAAATCTCTAGTGGCGTACCTCAAGGTACCGTTTTAGCCCCAATACTATTTTTAGCACATATTAATAGTTTAAGTCGCATAAATAATTTCAAAGGGCACCTCATATCATATGCTGACGATACTGCAGTTATCTGTACAGGTGATACATGGCAACAGGTATATAAAGTAGCAGAAGAGTGGGTAAAATACAAATTTGGTAAAGTAACAATCTTCTCAACCTTAATGTTGAAAAATCGAAATTTATTACTTTCACTCTTCTGAGCAACCACCAACCTGTCCAACAAAAAATTTATTTACATATTTTATTTACAGTGTTCTGAAACCATTTGTGAATGTTCATATATTGAAAAAGTAACTGAACTAAAGTATTTAAGAGTTGTAATGGACCAACATCTGAGATGAGATGAACATTTGCAATATATAGTAAAAAGACTTAGATATCTTAGCTATAAAATGTATGAACTCAAGGATATACTCACAAAAAAAAAACATAATTATTGTTTACAAATCTCTTGTTGGGTCAGTTATACGATATTGTTTTACAGTGTGGGGTGGAATATTTGAGAATATGCTAAAATATGCTAAAAAATAATGTTGAA